TGTTTATTTTACAAGTAAAGATTTGTGGGCTTCCCTCCACACCTGCTGCTTCAGCTTCCAGAAATGGAGACAGAAACCTAAAATGGAGATGGAGTTCAGGGGTCTTTCATTCTGTGAATAAAGCCCTCCTTTCAGCTAAAATAGGGACGATGCTCCATGCTATTCATAGTCCCAGCTGTTCTCCTCCAATGTTATAGTCATCATTTTTATTACAAGAACATGGCTGAGAGAAAGCATGTACCCCTTCTAGTAAGATCATCTGTTATCCACACATGGCTTCTGTGATGGTTACTCTGGTGTCAAACAGGATCCAATGCCTGCTTGTCTATCAAAACTCTTTCCAAAAAGAACATTTTTTGTCCAGGCATGGTGGGTGGCATACACCTTTAATCCCAACCCTCCAGAGGCAGAGGCAGCCAGTACTACATAGTAAGACTTCTCAAATACACACATACACACACACACACACACACACACACCCTCTCTTCCATCACGGGAATGTGTGATACTGATGAAAGCAGTGCAGAAGAGGTTGCTCATTTCAGATCTGGCCATTTCCTTTCTGAACAGCTCATTTATGACCACTTGTCCTGAAACCAGTGCAGAAGAGACTGTTCATTTCAGATCTGGCCATTTCCTTTCTGAACAGCTCATTTATGACCACTTGTCCTGAAACCAGTGCAAATAAATCTGTTCCTGTAAATTGTCTATTGCAACTAAATGCTGCAATGGACACAAAAGCAGATACCTCTTCACGGTACAGATTTGGTTCCTTTAGATGGAAGCCCAGAATTAGGATTGCTGGATCAAATGATAGGGGTGAACTCATAAGAACTAGAGTCGAGGCAGCTTATACCATCAGAAGGTGGCCACAGCCCTAGAGAGAGGACCCCCAGATCTGAAAAGGTAAGACTTTCCCATTCTGAATGGTTCCCAGGTTAGTAACACCGCTGGTCAAGGAGTGTGTGACAAAACAGGTGGCTTTCCTACCTCTTTATCCTAGACCCAGCCATATATATCGCTGAGGGGAGACCTGAGATTGTATTAAAGGAAAGCTCCAGGCTAACTTCATATGAGGCACAGTAGAGGGTGAGTCATTGGCAAAACACCTCTATTATTGTATTCATGAAAGTATTTTCCACTAACAGGCAATCAAAAGTACCAATGTGAGGAGAAAATCTAATGAGATGTCAACTCTCATAATCAGAGTGAAAAGTAAACCACTGGTTTGGATGTGGGCCTCCAATGGTGTTTTCTCAAAGGCCTTGGGAACAAACATCTCTAATGAGTTGTTAATATCATGTTTATACTACCTGCCAACATATGCCTGGGTTATTTAAAATTTTTTACCCAATTATAATTGAAAATACATAGCAAATCTTTAGAGGTGGGGTTTGAAAAAAGAAAATATATAGCAAATCTCAAGTTATGTCTAAATCTTCCCATAATTAAAAAAACCAGCACATTACACTTTCAGTTCATGGACAAGAGCATTCTCAGATGTGGGTGTTAAGTTACTGACACATTTCTGAGTCACCTGAAGGGAAGAAGAAGCAAAAGTTAAGTTCTTCCTCAGGACTCTGGAGTGAAGTCAGGTGATGCTGTGTCCCAGTGGAAACTAGAGACACCCCTCCCCCAAGAGAAGCCTGGGCTTGCCATGTAAAATAACCACATTTTGTAGTGGTGATGACTCTCAACTGGGGGATTTGTGAGAGTAAACAAATGGCAAGCCTGTTCCACATCTTCAGCCTTACGGGGATAAACTAAAGGGTCTTCTTGTTTGTATTCACAGCATCCTATACATTGAGATAAGGAGAAAAGTTTGGAAGAAAATTAACTAGCATGCCTTTGTTCAGAGAGAAAAACACTTAGCTTCACTTTGCTTTTAGGCAAGCCTGCACACAGACCACCCCTTTTGTCTCTTACTGGTCCCTCCTAACCTCTGAGTGCAAACACTCAAGTGTTCCTGGGCATCACAGCTTTTCTTCTCAAATCAGTGCCCCTAGTCTTCATCCCCAACATAAAAGTGCATGCTAGTTATAACCAGCTACATTGGTGTATTTCACAAGTATGATGTCAAAAAGGGAACTCCAGACCTCCATTCCAAATGTTCAAGTCTTCTAGACCACCGCACAGCCATCTTTGTTTCTGCTTTATGACAGAAAATACAGTCATCATACTCTACCTCCAAAACACTAACCTATGTTCACACTGTTCCCACCTCCACTGCTGCCACCCAGTCTAGGTCATCCCATCATCTGCTGCCTGCATTACTGTAGTAATTCCCCATTTTCCCCCTCATTCTACCACCCTTACTCCTTCCAATCTATTTCAAACATTATCATCAGGTTGAAGCAATTAAATATAAATCAAGGAATTAATGCTTGTTTTTCTATGGCTGAATGAAACCCTATAACTTATGTTTTTCACTAATTACAACTAGAAACTGGGGAAAGCAAAGCCTGAGAACCCTGAAAAGTAAACAGAACAGGCAAATTGTTGGTATTATGTTTTAAATTTTAATGTTTTTATTTTGGAGTGAAACACTCACATGGTAGTCAGAAGACAATTTCCAGGAGTTGGATCTCTCCTTCCATGGGGGGATGGGGCCTCTATGATTGGAATTTGGGCCATCAGGCTCAGTGGCAAGTACCTTTACCCAATGAACTATCTTGCCAGCCCTAAAAATACTATTTTATAAGTACTACATTTTATGATATACCAGCAAGCTCTATGTTTACAAAAACTGAAATTTCAACATATAGTTTATTTCATAAAAGCATAGACTAGAGTAGGGAGATGGCACAGTGAGTAAAACACTTGCAGCCAAGCATGAGAACCTGAGTTTGGAAACCTCAGAACACACATAAAAGCCAGGCAGAGATAAATGATCCTCCAGGGAAAGCTGGCTAACTAAACTAGTGAAATTCGTGAGCTCCAGGTTCAGCAAGAGACCTTGTCTCAGGAAATAAAATGGAGTGACTGAAGGCAACATTGATATTAACCTCTACACACTCACCAACATACAAATACAGAAACACACACACACACACACACACACACACACACACACACACACACACTGAATGAATGAATGAAAAAAAAGTACTTAATATTTGTGGTAGGCACAAAGGTCCTTGTGCTCCCAGATAAGCACTAGGGAAACCAGAAATGTTAAACACACAGGGTTGTCTCGTCAAAGAGAGAGATATAGAACATGTTTTTCACCCACAAGTCTGGAAGCAGACATGGTGAATAGCGTAGTGACCTTTATACTATCTGTATGGCTGAGACCACACCGATACTCACCTAGACTCTATTGTCTACTTGTCAAGCTATATAACTTGCCTTTATAGAAGGTGTTATATGCACACAGGGTGGGCCTCGGCCCTATCCCAAAGGATACGATAGACTCTGATGACCCCCTACGGAACGCCTCACCGTACAAGGGGAGCAGAAAGGATATGTGATAGGTAGGGTTTTAGTTGGGGGGGTGGTGGTAGGGGAGGACGGGAGGGAGAGGGAACTGGGATTGACATGTAAATCAATCTTGTTTCTAATTCACATAAAAAAAAAAGGTGTTATATGTAGTCAATCTATAGACTCCCATCTTTATGGAAGATGCCACATGTACTTTACAAAGAGTTTCTATACAGTTATATCTTAAGTTTTACTGTATACATGGACTGAATTAATTATTACCAGGAAATTTTTCACCAGATTTTGCTGTGCTTAAATACATCTAAAATAAACTATTTGGGGTCACACTCTTGAAGTTTGAACCAACTTTGTCATGTTGAACCAAACTATCTTCTTGCCTCATGTGGATTGTTACTCTGTTGTACATGGTGGTCGGAGAGATGCCAGCAAATATTAACGTGGATAAGTTACTACTACTAACATCTAACGGTTCTGAAAATATAACCGTAATTCGTTCATAAAATGTTTATCAACTTCTTTACCAGATAATTAGGTCCTAATGTTTATGTAGTGCTGTCAAAAAATGTATTTTTATATTAAAGAAAACTATAAAATATTAAAATAGAAAAGAAAGCCAAACAAAGTCAATAGTATTTATCAAATAATAGAAACTATAATAGGTCCCATGAGGACGGTAAAGGAAGTAAGACTGGTAATAATTAACACTCTGTTTATAATACTACTACATACTCCAGAGAGCATTTTGTTTATTCAGATTCATTTCATCCTATTCTGGGTTCAATCCTGTGTACTGAAAGAAAAGATCATCCGAGTTTCACAAATGACACTGAAATAACACTAAGAGGGAGGCACAATTATTTTCTGTCATGTCCTGCTTGGCTTGATCCTAGAAACCTGACTGGTACAGTGAGGGAATAAAGAAAGTACAGAGAGACAGACAGACAGACAGACACGAGCACAAGCACACACGCGCACACACACACACACACACACACACACACACACACACACTCTCAGGCTGGGATCAGGAGGGCTGTGTTTACTTTGATGGTGTGCACCTACTACCAAAACAACACGGGGTGGGGGTGGGTTGTCAGCCTGTCTCAGTAGGGGAGCAGTCTCAGATTGCAGTCATCTGGGAAGAGGAAGTACTGGTGCTAGCTTCTGATTACACTGTTCAGTCTGGTAAACACTCACGCTTGGACCACAGAAAGGGTTTGCCATTTTCCTCTGAGTATCACCTGGAGGAAGGCTTCACCACTCCTACACTCACTTAGGCCACATTCACTCCAGGCTTCCTTGGCTCTCTACAATTTCCCCCACCTAGAGACTGGAAAATGGAAGTAACTTGTCCAAGTCACTCTCAGCAGCTGATGAGATGGGAGGCCAACCTGGACCACGGGATTCTGGAGCAACGACTCCACTGTGCTGCTCATTACCGGAGATACAAGAGCAGAGAGGCTTGCCTGAAGGGCTTCACTAAGCTGTACACCACCCCAAGCACTTCAGTGTAGTCGCACACATACAGGCACAGCAGAGACCAAGCCCCCTTCAGATACCTGGTGTTCCGATAGCTTCCACATATGAGAATATCATATTTGCTTTTCCTTTCAGAGAATTTTCTATGCTGTGAAGGTCTTCCAGGGTGGTAACATATTTTACTTCATTAAAAAGCAAAGCGCTGAAATAAACACAAAGAAACTAGTGAAAAATTTGTCACAGACTTGGCTACACATGTAAAAAAAGAAAATGGCAATCTTGCCAAAAGCAATTACAGATTCAATGAAATCACCATCAAAATACTGGCACAATTCTTCATAGACCTTGAAAGAACAATACTCAACTTTATATGGAAAAACAAAAAAAACCCAGGATAGCCAAAACAACCCTGTACAATAAAGGAACTTCCGGAGGCATCACCATCCCTGACTTCAAGCTCTACTATAGAGCTATAGTAATGAAAACAGCTTGGTACTGGCACAAAAACAGACAGGTAGACCAATGGAATCAAATTGAAAACCCTGATATTAACCCACACGCCTATGAACACCTGATTTTTGACAAAGAAGCTAAAACTATACAATGGAAAAAAGAAAGCATCTTCAACAAATGGTGCTGGCATACTGGATGCTGATGTGTAGAAGATTGCAGATAGATCCATATCTATCGCCACGCACAAAACTTAAGTGCAAATGGATCAAAGACCTCAACATAAATCTAGCCACATTGAACCTCTTAGAAGAGAAAGTAGGTCATACCCTTGAACAAATTTGCACAGGAGACCACTTCCTGAACATAACACCAGTAGCACAGACACTGAGATCAACAATTAATAAATGGGACCTCCTGAAACTGAGAAGCTTCTGTAAGGCAAAGGACACAGTCAACAAGACAAAATGCCAGTCCACAGAATGGGAAAAGATATTCACCAACCCCACATCCAACAGAGGGCTGATCTCCAAAATTTACAAAGAACTCAAGAAGCTAGTCTCCAAAACACCAAATAATTCAATTAAAAAGTGGGGTACAGAACTAAATAGACAATTCTCAATAGAGGGATCTAAAATGGCTCAAAATCCTTAGCCATCAGGGAAATGCAAATCAAAACAACTCTGAGATACCATCTTACTTCTGTCAGAATGGCTAAAATCAAAAACACCAATGACAGTCTATGCTGGAGAGGATGTGGAGAAAGGGGAACACTCCTCCACTGCTGGTGGGAATGCAAACTTGTAAGACCCCTTTGGAAATCAGTATGATGGTTTCTCAGGAAAATGGGAATCAGTCTGCCTCAAGATCCAGCAATTCCACTCTTGGGCATATACCCAAAAGAAGCACATTCATACAAGGACATCTGTTCAACTATGTTCATAGCAGCATTGTTTGTAATAGCCAGAACCTGGAAGCAACTTAGATGCCCCTCAACTGAATGGATACAGAAAATGTGACACATTCACACAATGGAGTATTACTTAGCAGAAAAAAAATGAAATCTTGAAATTCTCAAGCAAATGGATGAAACTGGAAGAAACCATCCTGAGTATGGTATCCTAGTCACAGAAAGACAAGCATGGTATGTACTCACCCATTATGGATATTAGACATAGAGCAAAGGACTACCAGCCTACAATCCACACCTCCAGAGAAACTAGGAAACAAGGAGGACCCTAAGAGAAAAATACATGGTTCCCCAAAAGAAGGGGAAAGGAACAAGAACTCCTGAGCAAATTGAGAACATGGGGGGAGAGCTGAGGGAGGTAGGAAAAAGAGAAGGGGAGAAGAGGAGAACAAGAGGGATCAGGAAGACTGAGACAGGGGAGGAATAGAGGAGAACAAGAAAAGAGATACCTTAATAGAGGGAGGCACTAGAGGTTTAAATAGAAAGCTGGCACTAGGGAAATGTTCAGAGATCCACAAAGATGACCCCAACTAAGAATCTAGGCAGTAATGGAGAGGCTGCCTTTGATGCCCTTCTCCAATAATGAGATTGATGACTACCTTGTTGCCATTCCTAGAGCCTTCATCCAGTAGCTGATGGAAGCAGAAGCAGGCACCCACAGCTAAACGCTGAGCCACACTCCTGGAATCCAGTTGCAGAGAGGGAGGAGTAAAGGAGTCAAGACCATGCTGGAGAAACCTACAGAACCGGCTGACCTGACCTAATGAGAGCACATGGACCTCAGTCATAAGGCTGGGGAACCAACATTAGACTGAACCAATCCCTCTGAATGTGGGTGGCCTGGACAGTCTATGGGACCTCTAACAGTGGAACTAGTATTTATCCCCTAGTGCACAAATGGACTTTGGGAGCCCATTCCCTATGGAAGAATACTATTTCAGCCCAGATACACAGAGGAGGGCCTAGGCCCTCCCCCAAATAATGTGACAGACTTTGATGATCCCTCATGGAAGGCCTCACCATCCTTGGGGGCGCGAGTGAGGAATGGGTTGGGGGGGGTGGGAGGGAGCATAGGAAGATGGGAGAGAGAGGGAACAGAGCGTGGGTGATATGTAAAATGATTGTTTCTAAATTAAAAAAAAAGATTAAAAAAAAAAAACTCTGACTAAGGACCCTAATTTTTTTTAAGCGTATCTCCTTTGAAAAATTGTGAGTAATGAGAACACAATCATTCTACCAGCACTGGAGTAAAACTGGTCTCTGGGCCATTGTCTTCCCTTGAAAACATGCACAAGGACACTTGTGAGAAATGGTGGTCACTCTCCATCACAGCCACCTCCAAAGACTTAAACTGCATTCACTCACATCCTACTCTGATCTTACGGGTCTCTCAGGCTTACAGGTGAGCCATCCATATCACAGCTGCAGTTTCTTTCCAGAGTCCCTAAGCCTTTCATGACCTAGATGTTATCTACCTCTCCAAATTCATTGTGTTCCCCTGTGCTTAGTCTGATACACCCCGGGCACACCTCCGAGCCTCTGTTGGGAGGTATGCCTTTGCTCCACCTGACACATCTGGCCCTTTAAACATCATCTCAAAGATGACTTCCTGATGCTCCTGTGTCGATAAGCCTGAAGTTTTTCCTTCTTACTCCGTTACTCCTTCACGGCACATGCTATAATTAGAACAGTAGGTAATCAGATATTTGTTGAAATAAAAGAAATGTCAGGACATGCTTCATTTTGAGAAATGGAAAGTCAAATCACTGGAGAGAACCAGGCATGACACACACATCTGTAACCCTGGTGGTGACAAGAGGATCATGAGTACAAGGTCAGCCTGGGTCTCCAAGAAACAAGAGAGAAAACAGTACTGCAACGTTTACTCATAAATACATTTACTGAATTTAAGTCTTCAGGAACAGGACACAAAGCAGATACTGTGGTGTCTTCCTGCTTCACAATTGTGCATGTCTTCATTTGTTTTATGAAGGCAGGGTCTCACTCTGCAGTTCAGGCTGGTCCAGACCTACTCTACTATGAAGCCCAAGTGGGCCTTGAGTTTCCAGCAACCTTTCTGCTTCTGCCTCCCGAACACTGGACTTCAAGCATAAGCCAACACGTCCAGCTTACTAACAAATCCTATTTCTTCACCCAAACAATCCCTTTATTTTACTGCCTATTTCTATATAAGTTGTGCCCATGAACAAAGTTTTTCTTTTCATTTAATCTCTACATGCGTACTGTATTTTATTACGCTAATTAAAGATTTTGGAAAGTTTTTCCAGGCCCACACACTTAAGGAAGTAAAAGTCCATTTAAATACTTACATTAAGTTTTTCAAATACAGCTTTCTCTCACGGAAACACTTTCCCTTAAACAGAAATTCTCTAACCTTTTGGGACTGAGACCCTTTTATAAGCTTAACAAGTACCAATGTCCAATATGTTTACATATGTTATCCTATTAATAGTTGCCAAATGGAAAGGGGGAATTTAAAAATATTTGATCTTGGAAAATAAGAACACCATTGCATATTAACACAATTTTTTGTTTTAAAAAATTTGCAGAACAGCTGGGCAGTGGTGGTGCATGCCTTTAATCCCAGCACTTGGGAGACAGAAGCAGGCAGATCTCTGTGAGTTCGAGACCAGCCTGGTCTACAAGAGCTAGTTCCAGGACAACCTCCAAAGCCACAGAGAAAACCTATCTCAAAAAACAACAACAACAAAAAAATTCCAGAACAAAAGAAAAACTCATAAAAATAGTTTCACAGTTTTACATATTTGCAAATCTCTTTAGTATGAAACCAAATCTGCTTCTACATCCAATGTGTTGTGGTTTTATTTGTCATATGGCCTCTGGGAGCCTGTTCATGAGGAAACGCTGCTGAAAAAGGCAAGTAATGCCTTATGTCACAAGAATATTTTGACTTGATAGTCATGCTGAAAGTGCCATTCCAAATTATGTTAGCTTAAATATTTAACTATTTATTAAAGATTTATGAAATATGAAAACTTGAGCTATAGTCCCCAGGTAGCCTCTTGCTTTGTTTTCTGAGCAGTGCTCACTGTGCTGGGTATTCTGTGTGCATCACTTACAATATTACTGAGGCAGCGTTGCTGTGCACAGGAAGTGGGCTGGCCCCAGATCATTTTACCAGTTGCTGCTAGAGCTGAGATTCAAACCCAGGTCTTGTGATAATAACAGGTGGACATTCTGATGTTATCACTCATCTTTTTGGGAGAAAGGGTCTTGCTATTTAGCCCAAGCTGGATTCAAACCTGTAGGGAAAACTCCTGCATCAGTCTCAAGAGCTTAGATTACAAGCATTTATCACCATACCCAACCATCATGGACCACCCTTACAAAGTGGAAAAAGGATAACAAGCCACACCTACATCTTTAGGCTAATGCCCCAAAATGCCCTTGAGATACTTCAAAACCAGCTGATCATCATCCAGTGTACTTAAAAGGATCCCATGGGAATCCTTAGCTTGGAATTATATTCAGTGTGAACACGGCCCAAGTTTCTGCCAAAATGCCATTAATATCACAAACTTGCTTTTCCAACTTCCCTGCTACAAGGCTTGGCTGACTGATCTGGAATCAGTTGTCTGAGACTCTGGATCAGGAGCAAGTGATACAAAGAACCAGGCAGGTACAGAATGACTTTGAGAGGTGGTAGCAGTAATGCTTCAAAGGCAGCAATGTAACAGTGCTGAGAGCACCCCAAGACAGGCAGTGCATCCAGTGTACAGCAAGAGCCCGCCCCACATTAC